AGGGATTGAGCGCTTAGCTTTTTTATTTTTATTTTACTTATCATATACTCATATTTGATCTGAAAGTCGCAGAGATACAAGGGGCCTCCCCAAGCTATTGTTACATAGTGCAGGACTGTACTGGACAGTGACCATCTCATTTCCAAATTGAACACATTTCAAAACCTGGCTTAGAGTAAAGACTGGATTTTTAAGAATCTCTTTTTCCCCAGCTCCCACTCCTCCAGCCATAAGAGTTGCATAAGTCTTGCACTTAATGATTTCATTAGGGCTTCTCCTAATACCGTGCACATCCCATGGAAAGCCTGATTAGTCCAAAGGGAGGATTTTCAAGAAACAATGTCCTCAGTCTCAGAGAGAGATGCAGACATCCTTTCCCCATGCTGTCTCATAGCGCTAACCTTCAACAGGTTGAAACAAAAATGTATCCCCTGACAAAAGTCATGTCCAGCAGACTGCAGTCTTTGAGAAATGAAAGGGATGTACTGTGAGGTTCATGGCGTTTTCCCTTGTCATGGCAGATAGGCTTTGCCATGTCAATCATTAATTTTAACTTGGATGATATGTGAACTTGGCACATTAGTTAATGAAGAGCTAAGGTACAGGAAGCTTGTCACTGCTCTCTGTGCGCGATAATTCAGTCACTTTCTTGGAAGCGCCGTTCAACACGCAACATATTTGGTTTAATATTGACATGATTTACTAAGATGTGTATTTTATTTAATATATGAGGTACCTGATTTTAGTGAGTAGGTCAGGTGTAATGAAAATATATCGAACGTGCCTTTTTGGATGATGGGTTTCTTAAGTGATGCATCACGTGGGTTTGGCCAGTCAGTCGCCTGTGCTTCCTCAGTTCACGTGTTCATTTGAATGAAGTACAGTGTATACAGTGTGTTAGTACACCACCCTTTCAAATCCAAAAATTACACTTGTTTCTGCCAGGCTTTGAATGCGAGAGGGCAAAGTAGTATGAATACATATTGGAAACTCATGACAGCTTCTAATCCTAAAGATGGGAATGGTGTTTGATCATTTCACTGTAGTCCCAATTTGTATATGGCTAAGAGCACCTTGGAATGGCAAAGAGGAGATGCATGGGGAGTCTTGTTGACCTCAATGAATATCCTCAAGCAAGCAAAGTCTATGCAGTTTGCTACTACATATTTACCTGGATGCTGTAATGCTGAGCTCCATAGAAATGTCTTCCTGCTAGAATTGTATGAAAAAGGATTCCCACTCAGGATTTGGGAGACCTGATAATCAAATGGACAATAGCAGATTGTCACCAAAAAGTATAGTATGGTAGAATTAACATAGCAGATAGAAGATGGATGATAAATCTGTTAATGGCTGTTGAACAAAATGCTTGGAGATGCTTCCTCTGGCTTCTCTAAACTGATAATGGGATGCCAGGGAGGGTAATGAATAGGGGGCAGATCACTCTAGATATATCTAAATCATCCACCCCTGCCACAGTCAGAGACAGAGCTAGATAAACCATTGGTCTGACCAAGTATGGCACTTCTTATGTTCATATGTAAAACATTAGATGGGATTGTACATCTAACTTGCTCTACCTAGACATATGTAATATGTGTGTGTGCATGCGTCTTCATGGCATTCATTTTAGCCGGCTGCATTTTTATGGTGTATACTCCCTTTAAGCTTAATACTCTGATACCTTGAGAAGACAGATGACCAACCAGAGATACATCTTGCTTAAGATGGGGTAAATCTATACAATACCTAATGCAGAACGCACACAGCAAGGGTAAGGTTGTACTTCAGCCCTTAATACAATGCTTCCCTGGGCATGGGACATAGTCTGGGTACTAGAGCAGATCTCCTAGGGCTGCTACTCTTGTTCTACATAGGTTAGAAATATGTGAGCAGATGAAGGGAGTGGGCATGTGGGCTACCTGCATCCATACATCAGGCAGTACAGCAGAAGTAATTTGCTGCTGGTTGGTAGCACAAGTCTATCAGATCACTTCCCTCTTGGAGCAAAGCAGGGGATCAGGGAGAGGAGTGCCACTTTCTCAGCATCCCTAATACCCACCGTACTCTTTTCCTGGGATGGCGCAGCTACGCATCATCCCCTACACAGAACCACTTGTTAAGTTACAATCTAGTAATTAATGTCAAGTTCTCCAAGCTTTTTCTTCCTGCTAGGTTGGATTTCATAATGAAAAATTATAATATTCACACATGAGAATCAGAGCAGATTGCAGCAGGAAACACAGCTCCCTGACACTTGGTTCACAACTCGAGAGGCATTTAACCAGTCTCTAGGGGGGGGTGGATTCAAGATAATCGAAATAAAGAAGTGTCATAGGACTGAAACACTAGTATTATTATTTTAGTGATCAAAGTGCGGTGCAAAGGGAAGCGAGCATAAGGGCAAAGGAAGCCATTGGGGCCCAGCCCTACAAGGACTAACCCCCAACTTACTCCTCCTTCACAAGGATAATCTTGGGAGATCAAAAATTTGTTCTCATGAGTAAGGCTTTTACTCACTTTGTGAATTCTCCCATCTGGGCATCTCATGTATTCAAAAGGATCTTTTTTTGCTATCTAACTGCAGCTTTTCTTTCTCAGTTATTAGGTTTTCTTACATTGAAAACTAAGTGATAAAATAGAGCCAACTATTTTGGAGATGTCTGAATACAGGGTATATACTTCCTAATGAAGGTTTTCTTTTCTCTTTCTTTTCTGTTTTCATTACCCACGTATTTCGCTGTTCTGTTCTGGGACATTTTCTCCATGCGGTGCATGGAGATAACATACCGTAAACTCCAAATCAATTGTCTCCTCATTCAACATATTTCCTATTTCATTTTTTCTCTGTAACAGTATTTATCTGAGGGGTGGCTTCTTTACTTGTATCAGTTTTCTCATCATAACTGTTTTTGCCGGGGAAGAAAAGCAATGCTGCAAGAGAAAGGCGAACAATTTATAGCTTCTGTGACCTTGCTTCAAATCAGTGACCCTTCCCGCAATCAAAGCTGAAGTGTTAAGGATGTTGAATCATTTGTTTTTCGTTTCACAATGGGAATGAGGATTATTGCTGAAGAATAGGATTTGCATTCGTCATAGGAATTGGCCGCAAACTTTTTAAAAGCACCCTGGAATTTTTTTACTGGAAAATCTCAGGTGTGTCGCACCACCGGGAATATACAGAGCCGTGTTGTGTAAGAGGCGCTCCCTGTGAGCGCATACAAGCATATGGGCTTCCCAAACGTGAGAAGGGGCAGTGAGGTGAGCAGCGTGTGGCAGTGGCCAGCATGGACGCTTGCAGCCACTGGTGGAGTGGAAAAGTGGTACCGCCACTTGAGGAGCGACTGAGTTGCCCATTCGGCCTTGGTCAGGCACAATCCTTGCTGAGCCGCGTTGGCCCCTCTGCCTGGATCAGTCCCAGTCTGCCATAATCTGCCCCAAACTGAACATGACTTTCAAATGAGCAACGCAAAAGCAATGCCCTACCATTTTTCTATCGACGCTCGTCTTTTCTGCCACCAGTAAACTTGGTCCATCCCTGATTTCAATGTCTCTTTTTGTTTCCCCTTCCTCCCATCCATTCTTTAGCATTGGCATCTGTATAGTCTTGCAGATGATTACTGTAAGCAGTATGCGTCCATCTTTTCAGTCATGCGTTCCTACCAGCAATAACAAATGAAAAGCTGGGCCCTGTCAGCTCTAAGGGACACAAGACCAGGCAGCTGCAGGAGACCATCCAATCAAGCAACATCTTCTACCATCATAATGATAATTTCCCACTTTAACAGAACACCCTGCTGCCAAACTCCGGTGATAATGAGCCTGTCATTGTGCTCCCTACAGTATCTAGAAAGTAGGGGGGTTTTTTTGCAAAGCAAATGAAGAAGCTGATGATTAACAAGAAACAAACCAAAGATTCACTCCATTGCTGGCCACACATACCAAATCATTGATTCTCTTTCCTGCTGGGCAGCAGCTGTTTCGTTCGCTTTGCAGAAACGTCTTTTTTTCTGCTTGAAAACGGGGTAGGGGCTGCCGCGATGGGCTGCACAATTGCAGGAGTTGGAGGCAGCAAACAATGGCAAGGGCCAATGCATGATGCACTTGAGGTGAGCATGGCAGCGGTGCTCTCGGAGAGATGTCGCCTTTGTCCCAGAATAGAAAAGTCCTGGGGTTGGCATGTATACGCATCACCCTTCCAATAAGGGTTTAGTCGCAGGGGCAGACAATTATTTTGGGTGGAGGGCCGTTTACTGAGTTTTGGCACGCCATCGAGGGCCAAATGACAGGCAGCCAGGGGCAGATTAATATTAATTATCTAATTTTTTTAGGGGCCTCATGGGCCGGATAGATTGGCCTGGTGGGCCACATTTTGCCCACCCCTGGTTTAGTGACCACCCAAATGCATGGCCACATTTCTACCATCGATTTAAAAATGCAATCCCAGGACAACTGTTCAGATGCACTTGATAATCTTCCAGGCCAAACCATTACCACTTCTTATCTCACAAACCTTGTCAGGATTTGTCTCAGGACAGTGAACATTGACATCTGAACAATTGTACTTTATCCTGGGAGAAATGCAATGCCTGTCTATAGTCTAAGAGGCCTTAGTCCGGTAAACTCTAGACGTGCCCTCCATATCAAAGTAACTGGACTGATTGTTAGATAAAAAAAAAGTTTTGGGGAAAGATATAGTAAAATGCAGAAGACACCTGTTACCTGAGAAATTAGACATTGTAGAAATAATCATACAACGTATTAGCTGGAAAGGTCCTTGAGAAGTCATCTAGTCTATTATAAATGAATTATCCTGACAGATCATCCAATCCAAACAGGGCATAGTGTTTTCACAGTGGGCTTCTTGGCTAGCAAGGTATATTTGAAATGGGATATCTTATTTATAACCTTTCTGAGTGAGGTGCATATCTCCACATCATGATCAGTATATTCTGAATCCACTGAAATGTCACTGAGATTTTGTTTTCTCTTGTTTCAAGGTACCTATGTGATGACAGTGACTGCAAATGATGCAGATGATAGTACTACAGCCAATGGGATGGTGAGATACCGAATTGTAACTCAAACCCCACAGAGTCCATCGCAGAATATGTTTACCATTAACAGTGAAACGGGAGACATTGTCACAGTGGCTGCTGGACTGGACAGAGAGGTGAGACTCAAGACAATAGTAGCTGGTTTTGATTGTCAGTGGTTTGCCCGAGTATAAAGGCCAGACTCCATTTCACACCTAAATGGGCCAGAAGTCTGGAGCGATTTGTGTTCAGGGCTCTTCTGGATATTATATTCAGAGCTGGATGTGAACTTCCACAAAGTTTAGAGGCGTGTGCGCGCAGTTCAGGTTTGGTCCAGTATTTGTCCTAATCATAAGCAGTCTGTAAAATTATTGTCTTTGGCGTTTTGATGAAAGGCTGCCCCTGGATAACTTAAGACTATAATTAAAGCCCTAGAAAATACCTGTAGGGAGCAGTCCCCCGCTGGTCGAGGAACAGACGGATCTTGAACTTCTGTAAATCTTACAGTGTATTCTTTGTACACAATTACAGCGCCCTTGTCAAAAAATCTCAGTATTTCATTAAAGCACCCTCATGCCAGTTCTCACACACTGCTTTCTTCTTGGACATTATATGACACCCACCCTACTGTGTGTCGGTCTAGCTCTCTCTTGCTGATGACTCTGCGTGGATAAAATTAGGAAGCTGTGAGTTTCAAGAAATGTTGGGGCATGTTTTGGTTTTTGCAAAGCCCCTTGGTTCCCGATACGTTTCCTTTCTGCTATTTTACAATGTACAGTTCCTTCAGATGGGAAAAAAATGTATATATTTTAAGTCATGAAACTGTAGTTCACCTTCTCAGATTAGCTGCAATGGTTCTCAGAGCCCCAATGCATCAGGAGATGTTTTACTGAGGGCAGTCTAAATGTAGACTTTCAAACCCCATGCATAAAAAAACCCAATCAGATTGGCATAACTGGTAGGCTCTCTTGTTTCAAATTTGACTCAAATCCAAGTCATCTGAATTAGCCTGGGAAGTGAAGTTTTCTATCCCCAGGATCAAATCTGATTGGCTCAGAGTGAAGGAAGGACTTATATCATGATTTTTTTTTCCTGGTGATTAGTTAGAATAAGCACCCGTCCATATTCAAACACTTCAGTCTTATTTGCTGAAGTCACAAATGATCAGCAGTGCTGGTTAACTGTGATAGCCCAGTAATAATACAGCAAACGCTGAGAAGAAAACAGAACCCTAGCTTCAATGATAAAATGAACCATAGTGCTTGTGGTCTTCCCAGTATTAAGTGCAGGCTGCCGTGCTCCGGAGGTAAATTATTGCAAGGCAGTCTTTTTTTAACGGTGCTGAGCCCACTAGATTGATAACCGCTGCCTTCCAAAGATTAGTTAAATTTTATTTCTCTTTCCTTATCTGTGAGTGAAACCAAATGGGTGCGAGAGCGCATACAAAGGGTTGGTGGGTGGACTCGTTGTCTGAGATGCTGCAATTGGAGGGGCGTGAGGGTGCGGAGGTTTCATGTCAGAGTGTATCTCTTCGGCGTCAATCACGGCAGGCCGCCTTTGCTGTGCGTCGAGGCCTCCGGTTCCAAAGCCCTCTGTCGAAAGCCGGCTGATCGACACTTTTGTTTCTGCCGGTTGCATTCAGACACCTCGGGCTCCTTTTTGCTTCCAGGCGGCACACGGCCTAAGGATACCAGGCTGCTTCGACACATTTCCATTCAGCCTGGAAGCTGGAATCCTAAACACAGCCGGCAAGCAGGAGGAAGGTGGCCACTGGTAAATACAGGGAACTGGATGAAAAAAAATTGACAGCAGGCAGAAGAGAGCCTGGTGGCATTTAAAAGACTTGGAATAGAAACCAGGGGTGCCCAATGGAGCTGACACAGACTACGGACTTGCTCGGGGCATAATCTCAGCTAGAGCTGACCCCGAGGGAGAAAGCTCTGTGAAACAGCTATCTGAAGAGGACGGCAGATGAAAGAAGAGCTTGCAAGAGATTGGATGGGGAGACAGGAAAAAGGAATTAAAAAAAAAAGGAAAAGGCACTACCTCTTGCTTCTTCCCCAGTCTGATCTAGGCAACTTTGCAAACATGAAAAGGGACAGACCTGACCTTTCCTTGCTTTGCTTATTTACAAAACCCAAAACTTACCTGAATATTAAGCAGATAGATTATGCCGGACAGTGCTGAAGCTGCAGTCCACTTGTCATAGAAGGACAGACATAGACAACGTAGTCCTCCAAGAACTGACAGGACAACCTCTGACTACCCAAAGCTTTATAGTACTGACTACCCAAAGCTTTATGCCACTAACTACCCAAAGCTTTATGCCGCTGACTACCAAAACTTTATTCCACAACAGGGCCCAGTAGAAATCAGCAGCAAGGCCATTTTCCATGGATGTCAATAGAGCGAGGACTTTGCTCTATGTCCTGCAGAATACAGAAAGGGTCTGGACCTTCCTCATTTTCATCGCAACAGGGGTAGTAGGGAGGGGAGAGACAAAGGATGTCATCACCTCAAATCAACTGAAAAACTATGCAGACATTTTGTGCTCCCTTTCCCGGTGCTTTAGTTCTAAGAAATTATGGTGCAGAGGCAATGAACATGTGGAAACACTATATTAATTGCCCCACAGCTGTGTTCCAGGTGAGAAGACGGTAAATTCAAGCTGCCGAGTTGCAGGTATACTGCCAGGCCTACCCTCACACGATGGCATGTGGTTCTTTTATGCTGCTTCCCTGGATTTTCTTGGAATTAAAGTGAAGATTTTTTTTTCTAGTAACATAAAATCTTATTAAATCTAAATTGAACACTGTAGTTTGCAAGTTTACTAACCGTACTGCAAGTTCTGGCTGAAGTCTCGAATAGAAAGCCTCTTGAGGGCCTCAAGTCAGTTTTGCTGCTGAGGTTTGTTCATTAAGAGAAGGAGCCAAATTGCAGCAGCAGTTTGAATGCAGATGGGATCTGAATGAAAATGTTAACACATCTGACCCGTTCAAGTGAAGCTACTGCAACCAAGATATATTCCCCGGGTACAGACTATTTTCTCGGATGTTTATCGACGTGTCACACTGCGCCCATGACATTGGGCTGCTAGGCTGTGTTGATACAGGGCCTGATTCTTCTTTACACTGAGACCCTTTTACACTGGTCCAACAATAAAAAGAGGCCTTTCGGTGGCTGTAGATTTAACTACCAGAGCCTTAATATCAATGAGAAAACAGGACCGTATCGTACGTCCAACATTACACCTTGCACTGGATAAAGCAATTATATCTGAATGGTAAATGCAAGAGAAAAAGGCGATGTAGCTAGTTGCTGGATGCTTCTTGCAGTATATTTACTAGTGCTTTCTCAGAATCATCATTTAAATATTGACCATGGACTGATTTTACAGCAATATGCATATAAGTCAATTAAATGTTTTGAGTCTCCAGTAAATGATTGGGTTTACAGCTCAGGGTTTGTCCTGTGCAGTGTTTCAGATGACCGTGAAGATGAAAAAAAACACAAGAAATCCCTTCTAAGAAGTTCTGGTAATTTATAGAAATGCAGAAACTCTGATTTCTCACAAACTGAGGAGGAAATTAAAAACTCAGCCTCTGAAATTGTTCTAGTCTTCCTAAATGTGTCTGACATTGAAGATAGCAAAATGAAAAGCCAAGGTATTAAAATATTGATGGCTTTAAAGTTATCTTACCTGGTTCCCATTAATCTGGATGTAAATATGGTTACAAAGCTGTGTGTCCATTCACTCATTATGCCTGTGTTTAATTGAATGGATCCCCAAGGAAGATAAAGATAATTGGACTGCACTTCATAAAAATTATTAAAGGAGGACAGTTTAGCAACAGTCTGATTTAAGCTCCTGTCTGCATAAAGGTGAAAAATGCCAAAGGTGGAACAAAAGAGTCTCTCTCCTATTGAACTAATAGGGAAAAATGATAGGGTTTCAGAATGTAAAGAACTAGATCGTCAGAGGCACATTGAAATAGCAAGGCTAGCGTGAAAAGGTTAAAATCAAATACTTGCTCTGAAGCAGACAAAAGTCAAGCAGATGTAAGAGGATTGCTGGTGAATGTATTACGAGTGGGGGGGGGAAATCAGACAGTGATTGGAGCATGGGATATATGGATTAGCAAGAAAGGCCATAAACCTAAGAGATGGACAGGTTATAACAAAGCTCTGGGGGAAAAGTCAGGCTATTTTATTTGGTTTTAAGCAGGCTGCTGCACAGCTAGGTTGCACTAGGCATGGCTAGTCTCCAATTGCAAGTCATTCTAGCTGCTTAATTTGATTGCGTTCCCATCCTCGTTGTTCTCCGTTGCTTTGTACCACCCAAGTATGTCGCAGAGACAAAGGGGTGAGTGCCTTGCAGCCCTCCTCCCTCCCCCCACGGGAACGTGCCTAGACCCACACTGTGCTGGTACCACCAACTCCCTAAGGCTCGGCACATCCACCAGCTGCGGATCAAATCCAGACCGTCAATCTGAAGGCAAGCGTGCCAGCCAATGAGCTCTTGGTGCAGTAATTCAACTCCATCAGATACATTGATTTCTCTTGTGGCAAGATATCTGTCTCAGCAGCACAGTAAACCATTCTCGGGTCTACAGCATAGGCAATATCATCCTCTGAAGAGCTTCTGCTAAATATTTTATGAACAAGGACTTTGAGCATATATATATAAAAAAAAAAAAAGAAGAAGAGAAAAGGAACTGGCTGATTCCACACACTGCTGGCAGACCAATAAACGTCGAGACATCTCAAATGTCATCCGGGCTTATTTGAGATAATAAGCATTTCAGCTCTGTGATTCTTGTAGTGAAGTGCTGCTTACTTTTTTGAGATCTCCTTTAGAACAAGGTCTTTTCCAGCACATTCATCTCATGTTTAAAACTAAATAAATAAGAAAGTCAGGAGCTGTAAAGTGGCTTTTTCGAATTGCTCTGTGTTTCTATTTCTTTTAAAAGTGATTGGAGCTATGCTACCGCAAATGCTTTTAAAAATACATGAAATCCAATTCTGTGATTACCACACTTCGCTTTCTGAAAACGTGATGTTGCAAGTCTTTTTCTCAGCCAAGTGAAAGATAAAAGGGAATGCCTACCAACAACTATGCTAATGGCTTATTTTATTT